ATCACAAGGAAGTAGAACCATGGAAAATTGGGCCGTAGATGGCTTTTGTCGTCTGAGAAAACCTATGCATGTCATATTTGTATGCATAGAGCTGGATCTCCTTGTCTTTATCTTGCCACCACTGGTTTTTGATTTCCCAGATCCTCCTTTGAGCTTTGGCTTTGAAGAGCTGGCACGTGTCCTTCTGCTGAGATGAAACGTCATCTTGCCAAGCAGAATGAGTCGCAGTAGCAGTAGTCCTCTCAGGGAAGACTTGGATCTCGGTGCCACTCTCATCGAACCAGTGTTGCTGTTGATGAGTGGTATAGCCAATGGATTCAGCACAGACCATCCTCCATGCTATCTCCATTTGTAGACAGGGTAGAGAGCTTTTCATGGCGACCCTGTTGGAGATCCTTATATAGACCTCCAGACTTGAAGAGATTTGAAAGTCCTTCTCGTTGCTTTTGGCTGTTTTCAGTGTTTCAGAGCAAGCCAGATGTTCCTAATCCATCTCCAGAGATGGAGCAATCACCTACCCTGAAAATCTTCAAGAGGAGACTGGACAGTCACCTTGCTGGGGTCACCTGACCCCCAGTTTTCTTTCCTGCTTGGTGCAGGGGACTGGACCCAGTCATCTTCCAAGGTCCCTTCCGGCCTTGCAATCTGTGAATCCAAGACCAAGGGTCACAAGACGTTTGTTAATGTCTGCAGGGAGCTCTGTAAATTGACTGACGAGCTGATTCTTGATAGTGAAGCCAACACTGTAAACATGCCTGTCCTGGGCCAGTTTCCTCTTTCAGAAGGTGTAGCCTCCACCCTCTTCCCTCAGCTGACCCTTATCCAGTCATCTTGTGTCAGAACTCACTCAGAACTGTAATGTCAGTGTAACTCAGTAGTTCCCTAGAGACGATGGCAGTTCTTTTGGTCATCCGTTGCCTTGGTTATCTATCAAGGTTTGAATGATCCATATTGTGAAATAATTTTCTTCTTATAATGTTTTCAACCTCAGAGAGTTTGATCCT